CATGTTTCAGAGTTTTAGGAACAACGTCTGAGGACAAGCTACTATTTACAAGAGCAGGGACAGAAGGACCTATAATAGAGAAAACGTCTTTAAATAATTCAATTCATTTTATTTATATAGCGCCAATTCACAACACAAGTCATCTCAAGGCACTTTACAGTTCAACCAGTTCATACAGTCAAATTGATTGCGTTCTGCTCTGCGGCAGTCTCTCCTGGTAGCCGGAGTGACCTTATTTAACCAGGGTTCACGCTTGGATTTTGGAAGTCTAATTTTTAGTAGTGCCAACAAATGCAAGGCTGCTTTACTGGTAGAATAAAACCAGTTGCTGAGTTCCTCAGTCTTATTTCCCACAGCCTGTGGAATGGTACAGTGACCAGCAGTAGTAGGGTTTAAAACATTACAGAGCCAAAATGCGGCTCGAGTTTTAGCTTTTCCACGGGACAGCGTTATCTCAAATAAAACAGGCATATGGTCAGAAAAGAATGAGTCACCAATTTCTAAGTTAAAGACTGGTAGACCATAAGATAAAACCAAATCAAGAGTGTGATCATACTCATGAGTAGCACTAGTCACAGAGTGCAGAAAATTAAAAGAATCAATAACATTAAGAAATGCCTGAGCCATAGGTGAAGTCAGACAGCAGACATGAATATTAAAATCACCAACAATGAGAACCCCTTCATATTTTGGCATGATAGCGGCCAAGAAATAAGGAAAAGTCATTTATAAAGTTTTTTTATACTTTGGTGGCCAATAGACTGCAGCACACAACATGGTGTGAGAGCTTCCAAGTTCAAATAGCTACTATACAAGGGTACAGGCAACTGTTTGCAAGTAAAACAATTTTTAAAAACAGTCACTATTCCTCCAACAGAGCCCGACATCCTTGGAGAATTAAAATAGCCGAAGTTCAATAGGACAAGTTCATTAAAAATGCTGGAGTCACCCAAGCCACGTGTCCATGATTCTGTTATAAATAAAAAATCTAATCCTTGAGAGGAAAAGAAATCCCTAATTACGAAAGTTTTATTTGCCACCAACCTGGCATTTGTCAAACCGATCCTGACAGAAATCGGCAGATCCACGTCATCAGCTGCCGTCCGGGACTCCCGGCAGAGAGGGCGCAAATTGCTAGGATTCCCCCTGCGTCCACAGGGCCGAGAAGCGCAGGGGCCATGGGACTGGACGATCCATCCCGGCCTCTACCGACAGGAACCAGACAGGAATTAAGAGAGAAAAACCAACTTTAAACAGAGGTGGTGGACTCAGATTCCAGCTTCCAAAAAC